TCACTGGTTGTTTATGTTTTCATTTTCTATACACGATAACATTTTCAAAATATTTTGATTAGTATTGAACTGTTTGGGGACATTTACAGTTTCCGATTTTATTAGTTTTTTGTTCTATGAATGTCAATAAAACTTTATTTGTTTTGTAAGCTTGAAAATTTAATACAAGGCTCCTACTATATTGTTACAATGACATTTGAAAAATATTATAAATCCTTAGTCACAATTTTTTAGCATTGTAGTTCGAATTTTGACAAAATTTATCAAATTTTATATTTTATTATTATTTTGTAGCTAAATATTTATAAAATGTTCAACTTTTATAGCTAAGGATTAAAAATTTAAAACAAGGTTCGACCTAAATAGTTTATAATATATAAATTACTTTATTCACAATAATATCATCAAATATACCTAGTACCTAATATCATAGGCTGACTGACCGTTTTCGTTCAGAATCGTTTCTCTTATAGAATGATATTTATCATTGAATTCAAATTTAACACCATCTATTACAGTGACCCACTTGTAACCTACTGTACAGCAGAACGACATCCACTTACCCACCTTTTTTTATTCTGTTTTAAAAAAATTTAATGATCTGCACACAAAATTAAATCGGAATTGAAGGAATATACTGTTTTGAAATGGTATTAACTTTTTCATGACAACCATTTCGTATAGACATCCTACTACCGTTGTTTCCTGGAAAATGTATTCACAGTAGTAACTGATTGTAGCTATATACTGAATCGTTATATATATAATCATTATACTATAGCATTATTAAACTTTATATGATTTAATAATTCGGGATTGTATTAATCTAATTGGATTCAAATGTTATACTTTGGAATTCGAAAGTGTATATTATAATAATATTATACTCGTATATAAGTGATTAAATTGTTTGGATTCAATTTTATTTTTTAACACTCCATCCCCTCCACTTTTTTATTCTTAATTTAATAACAGAATAACCATTAACCATTTCATATTGTACTGTTAGCCAGTGCGGTATAATATGAATATATATTTGCGTCATATATTTAAGTAATTTTTATAAATACATAATATAATGATGTACCTACACTTACATTTAGTTACATATAGGTACCTATATCTCTCGTGATTGATAAGCTACTCGCGAGGACTTCAGCCATCGTTGATAAGCTATAATGTACATCGACGTGATTCAATAACAAAAACGTTGTAAAAAAGTGTACAAATGTGTATTTTATATTATATATTAATATTATATGGAAGTACTTACTAATATAATCGTGTTAACGTTAAGGGGCTGGAGCGTAATCCTTTCTAAGGAGTAAAAACTAGGCATTTTATATTTTAGTTCAAATGGGTCTTGTGAATGTGTTGAAAGTAAATGAACATTAGTGTGTGTATTTCGTAATACTGATCACGTTACATAGGGTCATTATAATAAGTCTGTAATTTTACCTATGCGCATGCACATGTCACTTGTTACCTACTTTATAAAATTACAAACATTTTTTTTCGAAAAATACTGCCAGTGACTTCAATCACTAAGCTCAGTAGGATGTTCCGATTTAAATTTTGAACGCAAATTTGAATTCTCCTCTAAATTTACTATGCTTTGACTGTCGTACATTTTTCATATTCTATATCAATGTATTTAAATTGTAATTATGAATATAATCTATTTTTAATTTTATTGTTAGTAAATTTCTAATTAAAAAAATAGAAATCAGAAAAATAAAATTGTCAAAGCATAGATAATTTAGTGACGAATTCAAATTTGCTTTCAAAATTAATATCAGATCATTATATTGGGCGTAGTGATTGAAGTCGTGAGCTATGTTTTCAACCGAAAATTAATCACGCTCCAGCTCCAGTAGTTTTCATAAATAGTATCAAGTTTTTTTTAATCGTTAAGTTTGAACCGTAGGTATACCTACGAGTATAAGAACACAACACTACAACAGCCATTTAATAATAGTGCATACTATACTTATTACTTACTATTTTGAATATTTCAAGACGAGTACCCTCGAGTGGTAACAAAATATAATCCACAGGCCACAACGTCAACAGGTTAACTCAAAGATTTAAAGTATGGTAGTCGATGGGTCTTTAAAAAATCACTGTGTTTCTTATGACTATAGTTTACTAAATTTCATGATTCTATTACCGACTAAAAGAAAAATAATGCCTTAGGAAATTCATACTGTAGGTATACGGTCACTTTACACAACGTATAAAACTGTCGTCTACCATTGTAGTTTAATACATAATGGAGATCGTTTATCGTATTTTCATAGTATTCGCATAGTAAAATATTGACTGTATTAAAAAAAAATTCTTATTCAGGAAGTAGTAAACTATCACATTTACAAAGCAAATAAGTAGGTAGGTACAACAGCTGATGCACAATGCACTAAATATGTACGTTTAATCAACAAGGCATGGCTTAATTTGTGTGTAAGAGCATAATACAATGCGTTTTGACAGTTAGAAACAATAATAATTATTGTACAACGAAAACATTAAAAACACATTTTGGGATAATGTAACGCTTGGAGTGCAACACCTCTGGATTTGAATGACGAACGATCTATAATGTGGCGTCTACGTGGCAACTTTTTCTTTTTAACTACATTCAGTATTATCGTATAGGAAAATCAAAATATGATTTCACTCCATACCGTTCGATTTTATTTGTGCATACACTTAACAATAATAGCTACTATAATACTATATAATAATATTATATTATATAAATAGGTATATTATATTATTATTGCGTGTCATGATCTAGTCGTGAGCGGGAAATCGCCCGTTGGCCACTCGCCGTTCTCATTAAAACGTAAAACAAACCGAGTGTCTATGGTTTTATTGTTTGAAGTATAACAACAGCCAGTATTCAAGGCCGACGCGAACCCGTCTCGGACTCACTGTCTACCGACCTCTCTGAGCAGTTAACACCACAAGCAGACAATAACTATGAATGTAAGCATATTATGTTGCATACTTAGTTTATCTGTAGAGTATTATAGACTCTGAAATGTAAAATAGCTAATAATGTGATCTGTTCACTAATCACTATTACCCATCACTATATACCTGACTCCAATGTCTTAAATAAAATATAACCACGTTTATAAATGCAATTGATAATATGCACATTAACTATTAAAAATTGAAATTAAAACTATTTAAAATTAGGTACCCATTATGCTTAGTCTCCAATATAGACAAAAATGAACTAAATAAAATGAGCATAAACGATTTTTGTTTGTATCAAGTTTTCCACCACATTTCATTAATACTAGTTGTTTTTAATAAAAAATATAATATTTAATATAGTAGGTACTTATATATACTAAAGTATATACTATAGTATACTAATAATTAATAATGAATAATATGTTATAATTTTTTTAAACTTATTTATTAAATATGTTTGCATATATTATAAGTGTCTGTAAATTTTTTTTCAAAAACAACCTAAGGATTTTGTTAGAATTTCATAACTAAAGGTTTTTAAAAAAATTAATTCATTGGTCAAGATCTCGTCTACAGGAAAATTCACGTTTTTGAGTTAACTAGTTAAGTATAAGTATTTAAAATTTTGAAAAATTTTAAAAAATATGAAATATTGATATTATTTGGTTATTTCAAGGAACATAAATTAATATTTGGAACATGCTTGTTTCTATAAAATGATGCAAAAAAAGTCGATTTTGAAAATAATGTTTACCGGTACCTAATAGTGGTATTGCCGTGGCAGTCGTGACTCAAAATAAAATAAAATAAATAATTAAGAAACAATATTTTTAATAGTTGGTATAAATAATAGTAATATAATTAACACTGGTGAAATTGAGTAACCAGTTGACATTCCTTCATACAGAAATCTAATTGATGATGTTTTTGAAAACTGTATTGCTAGGTAACAATATATGAAAGACAGAGCCCTAATTATACCTTTTAACTCTTGTGACACTATATAACATTTAGATAATTTAAAACTGCCTTTGATTTAAAAATAATTCACAGCTGTAATTCATTAAAAGATAAACTAGAAAGACCTTTGCGGTATACTTCTCATTTCCTTAATTACGTTGATGTAGTTGATTTACCACAATACCACCACGTGAACATAAGCAGGGACAAAATAGCTTAATAAAGAGATAATAACTTAAATATTTCAGAAGGACAATATTATTATGGCACCAGGCCAATTATTAATGAGTTATGTATTATATTATTAAAGGTAATATGAATAGGTACTGAAGAAAATTCGGGAAAATAGGTGCACATTCCAAGAATTACTTTACACTCTAACAAAGGTCAACTTGGCTGTACCATGCAAAGACATCAATTTCCCGTTAGACTAGCATTTTCTATGACACCTCACAAGGTTCAGGGTCAAACATTTGTGTATGTTGGTGTAGACTTACGAACACCAGTTTTTATGCACGGAATGTTGTACGTCACTTTTTCGCCAATATAAATTAACAGTTGTTTAAACGTGCTTTTACCACAAGAAAGTTCTCGTCACATTCTTAATATCGTGTGGAAATAAAGATTAAGTAATACAGACTATCCTAATTATAATGTAAAAAATTTAATGAAAACATTAACAAATACATTTTGATGATGAATCTCTTTTCTTGGACATTTAAATCTATATGAATGATTTCAACTTGACCTAAATTAATCTGAAATCCCTGACTTCATTTAACTCACCGCAAACTGAATCTTTATAATATAAGACATCCTTTTTTTTATTTGGTTATTAGAAAAATAATGAAAAAATTAAATAATATAAAAACATTTTATTTGAACAATAATTTAATCCGATACTTTTTTGTTAACTATTTAGTGGTTTATATATAGAAACTATTTATTTGCAATTATCAGAGAAGTAATAGCTATGGTAATGAAAAATCAATAAAGTAATTAACTGTACATTTTTAATAAAACATAGTTTTTTTTCCATATAGTCCATTTTTAACATGAATAACATTCTAGAAAATAATGAAGATTTACATGAAGAGTTTAAAACTCTTTTAGTTAAAATTGAACCATACTTTGTCAAGTTAAAATCAAACCTCGGTATTTATGATGTTTTGTCTTATTTTTAAATCAATGAATACAATTTATTACCTCTAACGTACCTATATAATTATACTGACTAATAGCATTAAAAAGTATGTTTTAGAAAATTAAAAATGTAATAGTAACTATACCAGGTAATGTGTATTTATTAAATACTTATATAATAATATAAGATAAATTATGATTTATTTTAAGTAAACACTCATTTTAAGCTTTTTGAAAAAAAATATTTTAACATAATTCTTATAATGACTAAGTACGTTATATAACGACTTTTAAAAAAAAAATAGAAACAGAACATTACTGATTATACATAAACAAATTTGGACTAATAGGTTATTTTTAATTATAAGTTTTAAATTTTTAATGAACTGAGTGGACCCTTTGTGGGGTACAGCTATGACACTTCATACCACCAACTTTTAAATAATTTAAAGTTAATTTAAGTTATATCTGATTATAACTACTCAATTTTCATACATTGAAGTACTCCAACCAACATTTTGCTTTAGAATGGGAAATTGAAAATTGTCATTAAAAAACAGTTGTTTTTAATGAATAGAATTGATAAAAAACTACTTTAAAAAATATTGATAAATGTTTGATAAAATACCCACCATATAATATTACCTATACCAATAATTATTATAAAATACAAGCTTTTAAATAAATAAATATACCTATGTATATGTTTATGTGTATGAACTATGTATAACATTTTTTTTAGAAAAATTATTATGCCGAGAATGGTTACACAAGTTGTTCAAAACTGGTAAACACGAGGAATCACTTAGAAATGCTTACCTAACCAAATTATTTGATCAACTAGTAAAAGGAGAATTAAAAGAACCGTTTAACAATCTTCCTAAACACAGATCGCCTTTGTTACCTTTACGTAGTGTATCTAAGCCGGTGAGAATAATTAGTTTTTCGAATAAAGCAAATTTATTTACGGGTTTTTTTAGTATGGGTTTAATTTTGATTTTTGGGACTATATTATACAACAAAAACATAGTGAAAATTTAAACATATTTTAGTACTCCTATGTGGCTATGTATAATAATCTAAATAATATTTAACACTATCGGTTTTTGTTAAACTATACAAATTATCAGAAACAAAAAAATATTTAATACGACTTGCTTATAATTTATCGTCGATTATTTTTTCTATCAGAATATTTATGTTCGTGATAAAAAACCGATAAAAAAAGTAGAGGAAACTTTTATTAAGGATGTGGTAAATGTTCACAAAACTGCTGATGCTCCCAAATCCACGAAAAATCATGTCCATACTAAAGAAATCAAATTGTTCGGTAATATTTGTGATCAAAATACGATAAAAAAAGTAGAGGAAACTTTGATTACGGATGAGGTAAATGTTCACAAGTCTGTTGATGCTCACAAATCCACGGAGATTCATGTACCTACTAAAGAAATCAAATTGTTCGGTAATGTTTGTGATAAAAATACGATAAAAAAAGTAGAGGAAACTATGATTACGGATGAGGTAAATGTTCACAAGACTATTGATGCTCCCACATCCACGGAAAATCATGTACCTACTAATGAAATTAAAATGTTGGTTGATGTTCATGATCGTAATACGATAAAAAAAGAAGAGGACACTTTGATAACGGATGTGGTAAATATTCACAAGACTGTTGATGCTCCCACATCCACGGAAAATCATTTACCTACTAATGAAATCAAAATGGTCGTTGACGTTCATGACCGTAATACGATAGAAAAAGAAGAGGAAACTTTGATTACGGATGAGTTAAATGTCCAAAAGACTGTTGATGCTCCCAAATCCATGGAAAATCATGTACATACTAATGAAATCAAAAGTAATATCAAAATATTCGTTTATACTTTATAGCTTATATATACATTGATTATACATTTCTAGATTACTTATAAATGTAAATCAAATTTGTAGAATAAACCATTTTTAAAAATAAGTTAACCGTAAACGTTGGTCTAAAAACAAGAAATAATAATAAGTAATTCAGCAATTCACGGTAAATTGACAGTTTTTATCCCACTAATTAAAAAAACTCAAATTGTTTAAATAATAAACTATGTTTTTAATACAAAAAATTCAACGTAAAATTTATACGATACCACCATATTATACTCAATATACTCTTGAACTATAGTACCTATACAAAGCGAGTAAAGAAATACTGAGTAATCCATATTATTTAAAGATATTGGTGCACATTTTATCAGTAGATTATTATTAATTAAAAAAAAAATCTTTTAATATAAAAATGATAGATGTGGATTAACTTGTGCGTTTTATTTTGTATACTCTGTAGTGAATGCAAATTCCAATCAAGCAAACCAATTGAATGTCAATGAAATTGCAGATGATTCAAAAGAAGTACAGGTAAAATCAGAGTTATCTACTCAAAAGTCAAATTATTTTCAATTAGGTTGTATTTATTTAGCTAAGTTAAATTATATTCACAAATATTTGAGTAAAAACGACAAATTAATATACTTAAATATTCTAATTATTAGTCTGAGTCTAATAATAGACAATACCTGTATAGTCTTAATAAATTAAAAGTTAAACCGTTGTACTTAATTACCATTTTTATACAGAAAAATAAATCGTAAAAAATGTTTAACAATTACTAAAGTCTAAAATACTCACAGTTTTACAAAAATGTATTTTCTCCTATTTCAAATATTGTTATTAATTAATCAATATGACATGCAATTCAATGCATTTACATATTTTTTCTGGAATGCTTGACATGGTGCTTTCCAAGATACAAATGTGTTTTATTAACTATTTGCTTTATGCTAAAAACAAACTTTTTGTATTTTTCGAGGTATTTGACGTTTAAATGCTTTTTTAAACGTTTTTAGGGCATTATTTATCTTTTAAGCTCATTTTTAATCTGGTAATGTTACAAAATAAATATAATGTATAAATTATAAATACATATATCTTACTAAAATAACATAAGTTAATCTGGTTTTTAAATAAAACTATTCACAACATTTTTCTTCATTTATAAAGAAAACCTAGTCAATTCCAGCTATTTTCTTTAAGAAATTTCTTAGAGTTCTTAGGTCATAAATGCATTTTTAAAAAGGAATTTAAATCCGAGCCCTTGTAATTAAAAGTTTTAAATTGTATGTTATATATTTCCAAATACATACAATTAATATAGTATTTATATACTACTCGTAATGACGTAACGCAGTATCCTGCCTACTGTCTAGTGCCTATATTGTACCTTAACGGAGTACTTATAACCTATTGAACTTTAACTTTACTCAGTAAAAATACAACTGATGTATTATATTTAGATTAAGTAAGGTTACATAATATTTTGTTCTTGCTTTTATAGTGGCAAAAACCGACAGTAGATGAAAGTGAAGGCGGTGATGGACTCACATTAAATGTAGAAACTAAATTAAAATTAGGATCTGTAGAAAAATTGTCCAATGAATTAAAGGTGAATCGTAAAAATTAAGTCATATGCTTTGATAAGTTTAAAAAATATAATCTAAACAATATACATATTTCATAATATTTTGTGTGCAGAAAAAAAGCGACCTTCTAGCGGAACAAGTTCAGGAAATGAAGCTGTACACCGATACAATGCTAATTAACGACAATCAAATAACTGTACTTAATACAGAGTTGAACAAGTTAGTTTATGCTCATTGCATATTATATTTACATTTCACGAGTACCTACGACCTACCTTATATTTTCAAACGTAATTTAATAATATGATATTTGGCTCACCGTACCTATCCTAGATGTCAAAACGACATGAAAAATATGTGCGATCGGGAAGCGGCTGATGAACTGTGTACATCAAACTTACTTAAAGATGTTTTGGAGAAAACCACTGTACTAGACAACAAAATTGTATCAGCAATGGATCGTTTAAAAACAATAGTCGAGGACGCGTGTGCGAGTAAAAAAATTAATAACTTTGTTATCGAGCAATTAAAAGAACAACACCGCTTGAAAATGGACGAAAAAGAGAAATTCCATGCCGTGCTGAATAAGAAATTAATGGTCGAAATCTCCCAACTAAAGGAGTACGTGGGTAAAGTCGAAGAAGAAGCCATGAGTAAACAACTTAACAACGAAAATTATTATGATTGCGATTATGGCGATTATAGCAGTACATGATCGATGTTTCGAAGTACCTTATTTAAATACCTACGTATAGTATGCTTATTAATATTTTAGGTAGAGAATAGAGAGAATAGATAAATGGCTTGTTCATAACGATCAAAAGCATTTGATTTCACTCGACAATTTTTGTTAATTATAGAAAACATATTTTTTAACAATCTGCTTGATACCTATTGTTGATTCAATATACAACTTCTAATTCATTGTTATCAATAATTAAAGAAATTTATCAATGATTTTAGCATATATTTTTCTAACAAATCAAGTATTTTCATAGAAAAAAAATTATTTCTAGGGTAGAAAACTAAAGAAGTTATATAACTAAAATTGATAAAATATGCAAGAAAAAAATCAAAAATATGTATTTAATTCTGAATAAAAAAAAAAATATATTTTGGCTTCAATAAATCTATTCACATAAGTATTTATAAAAAAAAATTACTTGTTTGTTTTTGGCACAATAAATTCAAATTACCAATTATTAGCCCCCCTCCCATAAAAACTTGCAATAGCCCCCGCAAAATAAATTATTCTATTGTTTCCTAAAATATTAATAAACCTTTAAAAATTCCACTGTAGGTATTTCTTATTTTTTTTAATTAAACAATTTTTATTTAAACTTTATAATTATTTTATATTGCATGTGATAAATATGGTAAATATCAGTAGCTGTATTCCTGTATTTGTTTTAAGTAATCAATTTATGTTGATATACTGTTAAGATTATTATACATAATTTTATCCTTTTACAGTATATGCACTGAACTATAATATATAAACAGTGAATTTCGGAATAAAAATAACCGAAAAAACACCTCTGACAAACAATCCCGGAAAAAAAATCCCCGATCCTTGTAAATATAACTCCCAGATTACAATATATTACTGAAAACCATGTGATAAATATTTTTTTAAAGTTAATTAGTGTAATATTTGTAACTAAATATTAATAATGTGGTAATTACACTAATTAGTTTCTAAAAAATATTTACTCAATCATTTTCATGTGGCTGTGAGTAATACAACTTATATTGCAGTCTAGGGATTTTTAATCTGATTACCACAGACAGTATATTATTATTGTGTAAAATTAAATTTGAGTAAATAAATATTTGGTATTTTTTATATTTTTAATGGGATGTATCCATATGCATATGGCCCATATGGGGTTATACTTTTTATGTAATATCAGGGAGGGGTGTCTTTAGCCCTAGTTGAGCTACGAAATAGATACATATTTCAATCAGAAATCACTATCAAGTTCAACTATAATGCATTAAATATTAATGCATTTTTTGGAGGATTACAGGATTACAGACTCACAAAAACATCATTGTAAAACTAATAGGTATACCTAACCTATACACTGTACAGTATAATATTAATATATTATACAATATACATTCATCGCTCCACTTGGAATATAATATAATATTGATGCTTTTCTGCGTATCTATAGATACATTGGTAATGATATTGTATTTTATTTTAATTATCATAATAAAGAGACCCATGTCCCATACACGAAACGATTAGTTGACAATGGCTTGTTGACAGACTGATTGTTCGATACGTTGTCAAACAATGCCGTCACCTCCTACACACTGTACCTACGTGTCGAATTTTTTATGCGACCACGTTGAACGCGTACGTTTGTCAGTACATTATTTCATGTATAGGACCCTAAAGTTTAAGAGGGTTAGATTACTATCTATATACATGGTTAATGGTTTTGAAAATGTAAGTATTTACAATGCCATTTGTGATCATTGATCATATCATCAGATATTCTCCCCTATCCAATGCACCACGTGACATATCTTGACAATATAATAAAACGGAATACAACATTTAGATTTGACCGTTTAAAAATATAACCGTGTGTTCAATTTTAAAGGTAACAGGAAATATTTCGATCGTATGACCTTGAATTTGATTCGGGGTTTTTATACTGCATATAGGACTTATAAATACATATTTTTTTAATGAATTCAAATTTTTAAATTTTTTTTATCAGCGCATGCGCAGTAAAATAAAAATTTCTTAAATAGCAACCACTATTTTGGAGACCGGATTTCGATTTCTTTATTTTTTCTGAACAACTTTGATCTTTACAGTTTGTTTATATCTTCAAAATTGCCATGTTTATGACGGTCGGAAGTTTTAAAATAGTTAATTCGTAAATAATTGTGTGGTGGATGATATCTCTCGGGATATCGTTCAGCATAAAGTGCCGCTGCGTAACGCGAATTTTTATGACATTATCCAAAAATTAATACCATATCGGTTTTTTTCGGAATAGTTTGCCATTGTACAGAAAATAATGACGTGTCACGCGCGACTTACGAAAAACGTTTGACTATTCACAATCAATTTTAGAATGCTATCAAAATATCTTATTCACACAGGTTAATAGTATAACATTCATTATAATACTATTAAAAACAAATTAAGATAATAGTAGTAGATGATTTAGTAGTTTTAATAAAAATAAATTGTTATAATAATACCTATAAATACCTATAAATTAAGATAGACCGTTGAAAAATGCAATATTTACAAATTAACTATTTTAAAACTTCCGATCGTCATTAACATGGCAATTTTGAAGATATCAAAAAACTGTAAAGATCAAAGTTGTTCAGAAAAAATAAAGAAATCGAAATCTGGTCTCCAAAATAGTGGTTGCCATTTAAGAAATTTTTATTTTACTGCGCATGCGCTGATAAAAAAAAATTAAAAATTTGAATTCATTAAAAAAAAAGGTGGGTAAGTGGATGTCGCTCTGCTGTACAGTAGGTTACAAGTGGGTCACTGTATAATGGATGCTATTAAATTTGAATTCAATGATACAATATCATTGTATAAGAAAAACGATTCTGAGCGAAGACGGTATGTCAGTCTAGGTTTAATACAAATTATATACATATCTATGGTATTAAAAAAAAAATTGACCTATAATAAATTCCAAATTAATCATATCACATTATCACAATATCCATTAGGTACTTATAACACGTTATATATCAACATCAATAACAAACCCTTATACTATCATAGATATTTAATAGTACACTTTAGAAGTTTCAAGTAGGTACCCACGAATAATATTATATAATCACAACAAAATAACTAGGTTTTTTAATATGTAATTTCGTCCAAATTTGAACATAAAATGACTATAAAAATAAACTGTGATTGTATATTTTTTGGTTTTTTTGGTAAGAGAATTAACTACTTACGTGGAATCTTGTTTTAAATTTTCAATCCTTAGCTATAAAAACTGAACATTTTATAATTTATTAATTACGATGATTAGTAATTTTCGAGATTTTGAAAAATTCTGTCAAAATTCGATGTTTAAATGCTTATAAAAAAAAACTGTACCTATGTATTTTTAATATTTTTCAACTGATATTGTAACAATGTATCAGGCGCCTTGTATTACATTTTTACACTTTTTGGCCCAACAGATAAAACTTTATTAATATTCATAGAAAAAAAAACTAAAAAAATTGAAAAATGAAAATATCCGTAAACAGCTCAAAAAGAGTCAAAATATTTTCAAAATTGTATGGTGTATAGGAAATGCTAATATAAACATTCAGTGAAATTTTCATGTATCTATAGTTATTCGTTTATGAATAACAACAAAATAAGGAAATCGCTACATGAGAAATCGAGTGAACATCCAATGTTGTAAAAATTTGAATTTCAAACGCTCATAAAAATTTAATTTGACTGTCCGGTAGAGATTTTTTTATTGATAAAGGTAGACAAACTTATGAGTAATCTTGTATTACATTTTCAAATCTTAGATTTAAAAAGAAAAATTTTTGCGAATTCTTAACTCAAAATAATTTGCTAATTTTCGTGATTTTTCCATATTTTGTCAATTTTTGAACTTTAAATGCTTATAAAAAAAAACTTTGACCAACGATTTTTAATATTTTTCATCTGCCTTTGAAACAATATACTAGGAGTCTTCTATTAAATTTTCAAGCTTTCGCAACCAACAAATAAAATTTTATTGATATTTCTAGAAAAAAAACTAAAAAAAAATGAAAAATGAAAATGTCCCTAAACAGTTCAAAATAAATCAAAATATTTTGAAAATGTTATCGTGTATAGAAAATGCAAATATAAACAACCAGTGAAAATTTCATGTATCTACGGCCATTTGTTTAAAAGTTACACCAAAAACCAAATTCGATTTTGTCAAAAACCGATTTTGCGTAAAAATTCCTGTTTTTCCTTAATTTTTATGTTGTTTTTCCTGGCGCTTGTGAAAACTATTGGGAATTTTAAATTTTGACATCCCCAATGCACCAACGATATTCACTTTCCAATCGAACAAGATACTGAAGTCGAAAATCGAAGCATTATTTCGACTACTTATCGTGTATACAGACACAAAAATAAAAAAATAAAAAAATAAAAAAATAAAAAAATAAAAAAAAAAACACACATCATTGTAAAATCAATACATTCATCGTTTCACTCAGAATCTAATATGTATTTATAAGTCCTATATGCAGTATAAAAACCCCGATTCAAATTCAATGTCACACGATCGAAATATTTCCTGTTACCTTTAAAATTGTACACACGGTATATATATCATATATAAATACAGGATATAACAAATAAACCTGGAAAATAAAAAGAAAAAAGTTGGGCAAGTGGGTATAATTCTGCTGTGTTGTACAGTAGGTTACAAGTGGCCAGTGGGTCACTGTACTGGATGATGTGCAATTTGAATTCAGTGATATAATATCATAGTATAAAAAAAAGGATTCTGAGAAAAGACGGTCGGTCAGCCTATACTATGTATATTAATTGTTGATATTATTGCGAATAAAGTAATTTATAATATATTTACAGCTATTTACGCGGAACCTTGTTTTAAGTTTTCAATCTTTTTTTTTTTTTTTTTTATTGAACAAACATAATATATTTACAATCTGTATTTACAAGTGATACAATAAGTAAAT